TGGCAAACCCCTTCCAAAAAACAGTTGCCTTGAAAACTGCAAGGACTTGTCCAAGCAGTCACTGCAGGGTCAGCCATGACTGAGCGCAGACCAAAAAAAAAAAAAATTCTGGCACCGATTTGGGCTGTATTTTATGTAGCTAAATATTTAGCAAGAATGGCTGGCATTTAGATCCAATCTAACACAAGTAGCAACCTTAAGAGGTATTTATTCAGGTTGTGGACTTCAGAAAAGGGAAAAAAAGGGACTCTGGTGCTTTTTTAATTGCATCACCGCTGCAGTCTTTCAGCACCACTGCTCCTTTCAAGATCATCAGCCAATTTCCTTGCCTTCCAAGTGGCAACCTTGAACAGACAAAGTCACTCTGAACTGCTTAGAGGAGAGATAGGAATCTATGGCCTCCAGATGCTGAACTACAACTCCCAGCAATCCCAGCCAGTACATCCAATGATGAGGATGCTGCACTTCAGCATCATCTGAAGAGCCTAAGTTCTTCAATTTGGGATGCTGTTAATTCATTTTAGCAAATGCACTTTTTCCCCTCTACTGTGCATGACTGGGACTTTTTCAAATTACACTTCTTAATTTGAAAGCAATTTTGCCAAACTGTATTTGCTCACTTAAATTGAAACTTTCACAATGTCACAAGATAGCTCTGTCCCCCAGCTTCAAATTATAACCAACTAAATTAATACAATCTAATTTAAATGAAGTGAAACTACACTTAGGTTAAAGTGACTTATTTCATCATCACTAATGAAACCAATTGCTTGGATGGAATTTCTACTAGAACAGTACTGATTGCTGATTTTTCTTCCCACTCATGCTAATCTGAGAGAAAACTAAGATAAATGAGTAGATTAAACTAGCACTGATCATGGAGAAAATCTGTGTGTTCACTAAGAGTCAACACTGACTTGATGGCACATAATTAATCAATCCACTAGCACTGAATTTTAATTTTGTGATTTATTGTATATATTAAAAAGGACAAAATTAGCAATCTCCTAGATCTCTGAGAAATGGCTGAGTTCACACAGTACAAAGCTACATGTTTGGCTAGCATATTATGACTGGGAATCTAATCATAATGACTGGGAAACCATGCTTGATCAGCATGAACGTAGACGATTGTGTTTTCAATAAGCTATGGTTTATTTTTAACCATTTTAAATTATGGGTTAGCAGAGTTAGCAAAATGTGTACACATAACAGTATGTGGGAAAAACCTTGGGAGACTGGGACAAGAGCCGCCACCTAGGGAATGGTCCGATAAGAGGCAGCGTAGCCAGCAGCTGGATAGTGGACAGAGCAAGAGGCTCAGAAGAGACCCTCCCTAGTTTTTTGGGCTGTAAAGGAGATGGGGCGGGTGAGAATTGTAATTTCAGATTTGCAAGATTCTGTTAAAGTAGCTTTACAATAAAGTAGAATTAGCTCATCTGGTCATGTTTTCGTCTGGTCTATCTAGTAAGGCTGTCAGTAAATGAGCCAACATTTGGATCAGAATCCCAAATCATAGGCAAGATGGTAAAAGCAACTTGTAGAGTTAAGCAGAAATATTCAGAATGTTATCTAGTTGGCATCAATACAGAAATACAAGATCTACAATTCATTTACTCAATCTAAATAAGGGGCAGTAGGACCCTGAAGAAACAGGGCAAGGGGCAGTGACCTCACTGTAGCAGGACAAAAGCTTTTTTAAATACTGCACGGCTGTTTACTAAAAAGCTAGGAACCATTCTCAAAGACTTCTGTTTAAGCAGCAATCCCTTACCTCCTGTGTTGTCAAAATATCTCTTTAGTGCAAGTTACTCATAAGCTTACTAAATCTAGAGCTGTAGTCCTGCACGCGCTTAGGGTGCTGAAATCCATTTAATCAATATAATTAAAAAAACAAGATGGAAAATTGGCACATGATTTTAATCGAGTATGCCACTAAAAGTATGCCCCTCCCACTTCTAAGGGAGTCCTATTACAGTACTATAGGCCTCTCTGAGTGAAATAAATCTGCTTAGTTAGGCCAGTACTCCTGTTAAGATTCAGGATGTTTAAAACCCTAATGTACCCAACAGCTGCAGTTCAAGGGGAAATGCTTACATTTCTTTCAGGACCAACAGACATACATTCATTCATTCAATCAGTCACAAAAAAGAAGCAAAGAGAGTATCTCACGAATGTAGTCATAGAACTGTTTAATGCTTTACCAAAAAATCCTGCATATACAGCTTGATTTTAAGTAAACTTCACATGTCTTTTTTGTTTAACCAGATCCATATAGTGTTTTGTGTAATTGTTTTAAATAAAATCCTTAGTACCACTGTTAAAAATTGTCAGTGGGGAAGGGAATTAAATCAATCAACTCTCTGAAACAGAGAAGCACAGGTTATTCTCACACACCCCTGGATGTTGACTGGTGAAAATAAGTGTACTACTGTTTTAAATGAGGCCAGAGATGGCACTTAGTGCTGAAAAAGTAAAATAAAAATGACAAAAATGTCACATTTCTTTTTAAAAAGACAGTGTTTCCACTCATTTCTTGATGCAACAACAACAACAACCCAAAAAGGTATTACAGTGGCTTTACGTAAGTCATCAGTTATACAGAAACAAAGGGCCACAACCCAGCCAATAAGAAGCATTTCAAAGTCCCATTGATGGCTATCTGGTGAAAGTTCTTCAAAGGCTCAGCATCAATGGGGAGGGGGGTTTTAAAAAGTGTTTCCCTGGAAAGTGCTTAGCTGGACTGTGCTCAAAATGAGGTTCTGATGCAAGGGTTTTTGTAATGGTACAGTGTCACACTGCACATCACAAGTGCATTAAGGTGTCCAAATAAACACCCTTGTTGTGCAAAGTAGGTTCTTTTGCAACAGAAATCGGACTGGAGCAGTTGGGCAAGATAAAGGGGGCGTGGGGGGGGGGGGGGA